ACAGCCGCGACACGGCGGGCAGGAAATCCACCCCGCTCCACTTCGCCGCAGGTAACCGGGCCCAGCCTCGCCTCGCCGCGGACCCCCCCTGCGCAGCCGGCCTCGCAGGCCCGAGGCTAAGCCGTGCTCCTCCACGCCGACCTTGCCCCCAGGACCCAGGTCCTGGCGAGCTCGCCTCCTCACTGCGGGTGGAGATTAAGGGTGGGATGAGCGTGCCGCACTCACGGGAAATTGTAGTTGGTTTGGAGGGTTTTTGTTTTTCGTTGGGCTTTGTTCTGTTTTACAGTATCAACAATACCTGTACCAACTTCCGGTCTTGCCAGCCTAAAAGGTCTCTATACACGAGAAAGAATAGGGTATATAGTAGTTTGTGATTTGAAAGGCCAGTTATCTCCGAAATCGATCGTTCTTGTCAGTTCCATTGTTACTGTTATCTTCGGCCCTTTGGATGAAGGTCTAAAAAACCTTTGTAAAATGCAGAGATGTAACTTAGAAAGAGTAGTTTAATTGGCCTTTGACACATTAGCGTTAATTGGTTTGTCAGACTTGCCAATCAGAAAGTTTCTGCAGAGACTAGAACTGAGATAAGCAAGTTTGAGAGAATGGAGGTCCTAGGCTGGGTGCAGGTAGTCTGCCACACCGAGTTAGGGTGACAAGTAGTAAAATGAGAGAAAAGATGGTGCACATACTGCACCTTGCTCTAGAATTTAAGTTGGGACTAACTTTGCCTAGTTCGGAGATTTAGATCATTTGAATTACTCTTTTTCAAGAATTATTTATTTAATTCTATTTGTTATTATTTTTTAAACATTTGACCAAAGAGAAAGAGAAAGCAAGAAGGCAAGTGACCAGGTCCAGGACTCCAACTGCGGTCAGCCATGTAGAAATCCAGCACCTTTAACCAACATGCCACCTCCCAGCCCCCGAATTATTCTCTTTTACTCGTTTCACTTATAATATAAGTGTATCAAATTTAGTTGAAGAATTTTAAAGGACCAGAGATGGACCCCTCTGTTGTGTCCATAGACTGGTTTTGCTCTACACTTTGAGAAAAGATCATGACTTATCTCTAACCTCAGGTGAGCTGTGCTTGATTGGAAATGGGAGTAGGTTCTCATACCTTGGTAACTCTTGTTTTTTTTACTTCCTGTGTTTCATAATTGTTTGGAACTTTATTTTTTTTTAAAGCAGGGAGATGTTTTAAAGTACCCAGTTCTTTTTGGGGCAAGAATGATGAGCAGAGAATTTGAAAAAGTTCCTCATTCATAGACATCACTTTTATACTTTTTTGTTGTTATAGGACACTTGGGCTCACAGGAGAGAGACAGAGAAATTGAGAAAGCTCACCCCCATGCGGGGCAGGGGTGGGGCAGGGAGGATGGCCACTTGCCAGTCCTGGTTCCTCTGTTCTCTTGGGATTTGGGGCACACACGTGCACAGACCTACCGTGCATTTAAAGCTTCAGGTCCAGTACTTGAACCTTAGAATAGGCCATGTAGGATCTGGCTGCCTTAACCACCATGCTACTGGCTAGCCCCAGTTTCATATTTTCTACCAACTGGAGATTTGTTTGCTTTAACCTATTCCTATTTTAAACTGTAAATACTACCAGAAGTAATGCATTCTTAACCATTTGCACCTTTGTTAGGTTCCCACTGGTGGGAGTCTCTTTAAGAGAAGATTTGAGAGACCATTGGTAGGAAAACTAAAAACGGCCCTGGAGAGTGGAAAGTAGAGAGAGAACATCAAAGTCAAATCTCACCTGGTGAGATTTTGGTGGTCAGTGCTGCCTTCTTCCATTTATTTGGATTGTCCTGTTGACCATGCAGTCAACATTTAAATAACTAATTTGGCAAGCTGTAACAACCAACTGATACATAATCCAAAGGGTAGTGTTACTTAGATTCTGTTCACTTGATCTGCCGGATAAAAATAGCCAAGGAAGATCTTAGTTGCTACCTTTCAAGAATTTGGTGTATTAATGAGTTCATATCTGAAAATAGTAATATTTGGAGGTGTAAGGGGATGGTGTTAGCTTCCCACTGACCTTGTTCCTTCGCCACCAACCCACCTTCAGTTTGTGTTGTTTGTACAGACTGAAATGGGAAGCTTGGTATTTTAGAAACTATACTCCCTTCCCTACCACAGTTTACCCAAATTGTCATGTATAGCTTACAAGGTTAAAGATTCAAGATCTAAAAAGAGTAATAAAAATCACTAAGGGATCAGCATACAACCAGAACTTTAAAGTTCTGCATTTACACCCAGATATATAAGAAATGGTGGGGTTTATTTTTAATTAACTTTGTAAATTTAATCTAAATTACTAATTAAGTTAATGATATTAAGTGTGCCCTGTTGCATTTTCTCCTACTCTCTACACAGAGTACATTTCATAATCTCTTGTAGGTGGTGAGTTATCTGCCATGTTAACGTGCATGTTGGCATACTGTTGTAAGCTCAGTGTAGATGGTGGTACCGTGGGACTCCCTGACCCAAGCGGTTTCTTGTGTCTGTACACTGTAGAGTTAGATATGGGGTGAGAGGGGCACAGACATCATTGTTCTAAAAAAAGTTTAGCCAGTTAGAGGTTTTATTGGGGGAGGCCAGTTTATATCTTTGTTTTGAGTTCTAAGTAACATTAGGAATGGGAAATGTATACAGACCACAGAAAAATGAAGAGCAGTTTATAAAAAATTTGGTTTGTCATTTTTTCTGAAGAAATTTAGTTAAAAGAGTAATTAATTGCCAGTCTCTGGGAATTAAATTCTGTTAATGAAAAAGGTCATCGACACAAACAGGGATTGTTCTTCTATTGGGTGTATTTGTTTTGTTTTGTTTTTTAATTAATGAACTAGGTTCTATACTTTTTTTCTATACGTGTGATTTAAAGTCTTTCTTGGACCAGCACTAGCCTAGGGGACAGAGGGAACTAGATCCCACACGGCCAACCACAGTTCCAATCCTAGTCTAGTGGCTTGCCAGGAGCATGTGCATGCATGTTTGTGCCCCACATCCTGACAGGCTGGAGAAATGGAAGCAAAAGGAGTGCAGCATTACCATACCCCATTCATGAGTGCAAACTCTTCTCTGTCACCCTCTCTCTGGTAAGTGTATGCACCCTGTGGCAATTAAAAGAAATCATCTCTCAAGAAAAAAATTATTCTGGAAATTGTTTCCTTTTCTTTCAATCCACTTGATCCTACCACACAGGAATATGAATGAATGACTATAGTTTGGTGTGTGTGTGTGTGTGTGTGTGTGTGTGTGCGTGTGAGACACATTACCAAGCTTGTAGAGTCAAGTCGGTGGTAGGGCGGCTGTAGCTCTCCTGAAAGCAAGAGTACCTGAAGTCTTTTTTTTTTTTGAGAGAGAGAGGTTTTTACGCCTATTGAGGGGTAGTCATGCCTCAACCCCTTCTCCATTTCTTCAGAATTTTGGGCGCACATTTCACATGTACGTGACATATTTTTGAAGTTGCCAGAGTCAGAATTTGAACCACATTTATCCATGTGGGATGCAGCTCCATTAACCGCTAGAGTATGGGGCCAGCCCTGTTAACATATTTCTGGTATGCTGCCTTATCCACCAGATACGTGGATCAGTTAGACTGAATTTAGATTATCATATGCAATGGGTGACTCACAGAAAAATGGGAATTTTTTTTTTTTATTCAGAGAAGGGAAATGGAATTACAACATCTGGAATTTACCATGCAAGCAGTACATGTGAAAACTGGAGTTGCTTATTCTAGAAATGAAAGAAAACTTGACCATGATACTGTATTCACTTAAGTGGAAGAGTCATGTAGAAGAGCAAGTGGATATGGTTTGTGTGGCTTTGGTAGTCAAAACTGAGGCCAGAAGTTGAAAGGTTACAAGAAGTCAGATAGCTTTTAATAATGTATTCAGCTGTGGGACTTTCTTCAAGTATCCCAACAGTGGCTGGATTGGCATTTCTCAGAGATGTAAAGAGGATTTCTACATGTTGTGGACAGTGTGACCGAGAGGTCATAATCGACTGATAAAGGAAAATGAGAAGATTCCCTAATTGAAGGTTTTGACAGCTCAACTACTGAAGATTACAATAGCTATTGTGATGACTTTTTATATCCTTTCTTAAAATGATGCTATTGAGGACCTCCAGTAAACCCTCAAAATAATTTCCTTCTTTGGCTATAGGCCAACATCATAATTGTGGGAACCACACAAAATTAATTTGCACTTGTTATCTTTTTTTTTTTTTTTTTGGAGAGATTTTTCACTATAGGGTGCATGCGCTCACCAGGCAGACAGAAAGAGACATAGAGACAGAAAGCGAGAAATCACCCCCTGGGGGGATGGTCACGCCACTATCCCTTCTCCTCCATTCTCCTCTCAGGATCTTGGGCATGCACGCACATGCGCCTGGTGTGAGTTTTAAGCCACCAGGTCCGGGACGCAAACCGTGGTCGACTACGCAGGAGTCCAGCGACATAGCCATTACGCTAACTGCTGGTTCCCTGCACTTGTTATGTTGAGCTATTATTATATATAGTTGTTATCAGTATTGGACTTTGCTGTGGAAGATCACTAAATTCAACATCAACAGAAAAAAACTCATTATCAATGAAGATCAATCTATTGAAGAATTCAGTATCTTTTTTTTTTTTAAAGAAAGAAGGAAGTTTTTTTTTTTTTATTCATTTATTTTAATTTGACCAGACACACACACACACAGAGGACAGGAGTAGGGGGGTGAGAAAGCAAGCCGCCAGGTTCGGGATTCAAACTGTGGTCAGGCATGTGGGAGTATCCAGCACCTGAGCCACCATGCCACCTGCTGGTCCCCAAGAATTCAGTATCTTAATGCATCAAATCTCCCAACAGATTAAGCTCTTGAGCTTCACCCAGAAGTAAACAGTCAGCTTCAATAACAGCAGTTTGGAGAACACTCTTCAGTATTCACCATCTAGATCATCAGAATTTCATCACTATAGAAGCCATGGCATCTTTTCCAAATTTCTACTAGTCTAGCCAGAGAAATAGTTTATCTGTCTTAAGTTGAGGTGG